TTAAGGTATTGTAATGTAAGGCAAGGCAAGGCAAGGCAAGGCAAAGCAAATTCAAGGCACGGCAAGGCAAAGGAAATTCAAGGCAAGGCAAGGCAATGTAATGTAATGTAACGTAAGGTAATGTAATATAAGATAAGGCAAAACAAGTTAAGGCAAGCCAATGTAATGTAATGTTAGGTAACGTTAGGTACTATAAATTAGGTCAAGGCAAGGAAAGGCAAGTCAAGGCAAATCAAGTCAAGGCAAGGCAAGGCATAGCAAGGCAAAGCAAGGCAAGGCAAGGCAAGGCAAAGCAATTTAATGTAATGTAAGGTAAAGTAAGGTAATATAAGGTATTGTAATGTAAGGCAAGTCAATATAATGTAATGTAAGGTAACGTAAGGTAATATGATGTAAGGCAAGGCAAGGCAAGGAGAGGCAAGGAAGGGCAATGTAATGTAAGGTAAGGTAACCTAGGGTAATGTAATGGAAGGCAAGGGAAGGCAAGGCAAGGCAATGTAATGTAATGTATTGTAATGTAACGTAAGGTAATGTAATGTCAGGCAATGTAATTCAAGGCAAGGCAAGGCAAGGCAATGCAAAGTAAAGTAAAGTAACGTAAGGTAATGTAATGTAAGGCATGGCAAGGCAATGTAATATAATGTAAGTTAACGTAAGATAATGTAATGTAAGGCAAGGCAAGGCAATATAATGTAATGTTAGGTAACGTAAAGTAATGTAATGTAAGTCAAGAGAAGGCAAGGCAAGGCAAGACAAAGTAATGTAATATAATGTAATATAATGTAACGTAAGGTAATGTAATGTAAGGCCAGGCAAGGCAAGTCAAGACAATGTAATGTAATGTAAGGTAACGTAAGGTAATGTAATGTAAGTCAAGAGAAGGCAAGGCAAGGCAAGACAAAGTAATGTAATATAATGTAATATAATGTAACGTAAGGTAATGTAATGTAAGAACTGGGATGCATTCCGTTTAGCTGCTTCTGTTGACCCTTTCGACAATGCAGGCCAGCTGCATCTACGTGCTGTGCCTGGGTCGAAACTCAAACTGCTCATCGCGCAGCAGCCCGCGTTCGCATGACCTCGTGTTGGACCGACGTTAGTAGGATATTCTCCTGCGACAGTGTCAAGAAGACTGATTGGTCTGTAGGAAGGAGGCATCTTGAGGTCCTTCCTCGGTTTCAGTATGGACACCACGCGTGCGTGTTTCCATGCTGAGGGGAAGTGAGAAATGTTATCACGCGTCGTGAGTGATGTCTCAGGACCCTGTTCGGTATACCGTTGGGGCTCGGAACCTTGCCAAACTTGAGTCTCTTGATGGCCTTTGTGACCTCCGACGGACTGGTTAATTTCGGTTCACTTGCGGGAACATACTCGTATGCTCGCATCGCCTCGTTAACCATGTCAATTATAACCGGGTCCGACGGGTTGTCTACCAGCTGGAACTGGACCTCAAGGTCGTCGGCCAGGGCTTCTGCCTTCTCGGGGTTCGAGTGAGCCAGTCCTTCCTTCACTGGCAAGGGGGTGACGGAGTGGGGACACTCATCACCCGCTTGGTCATCTTCCAAAGCGACTGGTCCTCGCAACGTGTCGATCCACAGTTCGTTCCGCCACACGTTGAGACGATAGGTCACCGACCTCTGGAGTCGATTGACCTGGGTCTTAAGAGCAGGGACCCTCGAGACCTGCCACCGCCTACTCAACCAGTTCTTGAGGCGTATTTCATCACGAATACTAGCGGGCAGAAGCCGTCGCCTGTCATCGCGGGGTCGAAGCTTGGGAGCGGACACTGCTGTGGATTCCAGGATAGCATTGGTCAGTTCCTCGACGCACTTGTCGATTGCCTCCTCGTCGTTTACCACGGGATTTCCCGGGAGTCAGCTTTCGAAGCAAGCCTGGAATGCAGCCCAATCTATTCTCGCGAAGTCCAGGCTATCAGGCAGGTTTTGAAAGACGATCGGCACGTTGTGTCGATGAGGACGGGCAGGTTATCTGAGCTGAGTTCGGAGCTGACAGTCAGGTGCACCGGTAGGACGAAGTCCTTGTTGAGGACAATATCAAGGACGTCGGGGGTTGCGTTTTGTGTGTGTAAGAAGCCGTGGTTTGGGAATCCGGCCTGTAGATGAAGCAGGTATTTCTGTTGGCGAAATCACGCAGAAGCGAGCCCCTGGCAGAGATCAGAATAGTTTTCCAGTCCGTGTGCTTCGCGTTGAGGATTCAGCGGGGGTTTCCCAGTCTTATTGAAGACTGGGAAACCCCCGCTGAAGCACTCGGTCATGTCCGACTCAATTCAGGGCCGGGGAGGGTGCGAGGTATGCTGCCTCTAGCCCGTCGACGTGGTGTCGACGTGGTGGTTTAAATACCCCGCATATACCGCTGTCGTGCTGTTCCTGCGGTAGTATTTTTTAAATGCCCGTTTAAATTTTGCTGTAAAATACTCTTTTTTTCATAACTTTTGAACTATATGAGATATAATTATGAATTTTTCACCGAAATCCTCTTAAAAGATGGTTTTATAATCTTACCTTATAAGATGAGCACCCAATGTGTGAGCAATGGAAGCAGGTGGATTAGAAGATCAGTTTCGTATAATAGTTTCTAAAACATTCATCTATACACAACCCTACCTCACATTAACTACACCAATAAATGGATTCTCTTCTTATCCTGCGTTTCGTACACACGACACATCTTTTTTGTGGTTTTGCCTTCTTTCCTGTTGGTGGAATACGCCCCGGGAAATGTCGTTCTGAGAGTCTTTTGGGTGGGGCCTCAATTGACGGACGGCCGTGTACAGGACGCGGAACACCAAGACCGTGTTTTTCCACTAGTCCTTGTGCTAATGAAATTCTGAATTTCAGGGTGTCTACGTTTTTGTTATTCGGGAGGGAGCGGTACATGATCATAGCATTATGTATTGCAACATTAAGTAATCGTTTGAATAATTTCATGTACCACTTTGTTCCCTTCTTTCGTTCCAGCAGGTACGGCTGTAACATTTGATCCTTCAGATCCACTCCCAGCATGTTTTTGTTGTAATCACGAACAACCTGAGGCTTTGTTTGTTCTTGCTTTGCTTTGTTTATAGTCACACGCATATCATCCTTGTGGTATGTTGATAACATGGTGACTCGCTTCTTGTCTTGCCACGCGAGAACTGCCACATCGCCAGAGTGTAGACCACAGTGCTCGCAAAGCATGGCAGGGCAGGGGTAATACGGATCAGATCAGAGCAGGGCAGGGCAGGGCGGTTCAGGCGGGTCAGGGCAATGCACGGCAGGGCATAGCATGTCATGGAGAACAGGGCAGGGCAGGGCAAGGCACGGCAAGGCAATTCAAGGCAAGGCAAGACAAGGCAAGGCAAGGCAAGGCAGGTCAGGGGAGGGCAGGCCGGGTCAGGCGGAAGCAAGACCAGGCAAGGCAAGGCAAAGCAAGGCAAGGCATGGCAAGGCAAGGCAGGGCAGGGCATGGCAGGGCAGGGCAGGGGAGGGGAAGGCAGGGG